CGGGCGCGCCCCAGAGCTCGGCGCGGCGATGCACGGCGCCATCGATCCAACGGACCATCGGGCCCACTACTTTGATGCCCTACCGATCGCTTCACTGCCCAGAAGGCCCCCATGCATGCTAGCTGGGGTCTCAACTGGTTGAGCATCTCAACTTGCCAGCACCATCCTGCGAATCCGCTGGCCGCCGAAGCAGCTCGGCCGCAGGGCTCGCCATCGCTTCGACCGCCCCCGAGACCCCCCCCGACCCTTTGATGCGAGGGCCTCATGCGCGTGAAGTCGCGCTTGTAGGGCCGCCTGCCGCGAAAGCGCGTTGGTCGTGGCTAACCGGCCTGTCGGATTGGTCGGGCGCATGTGGATGAGCTTGGACTCAGGAAAAAGCCTCCGTCGGTCGCAGCTGCCTGCCCGTCGCCAGCCTGCCCGCTAAGTGGCAGGTTTTGAGCTGTCAAGGTAAACCCCATGCCAGCGTGATCTGGCAAGCCCAGCTGCTTGTGGGCGAGCCCCGGGTGCCCCATGTCAACATTCACTGGTTCCTGGATCGCTTCCAAAGGGCACTTACTCCCAAGGCTGATCTGGGCCTAAAGCTGCAAAATTAGCATCGGCTGCACTGGCGCCCGCGTCGTGACCTGCCCCGGCGTCGTTCGGGGGGCTCCGATTATGTCATGGCGCGGGGCCGCCCATGGGCCTCTCGTGCCCCATCTGAAGGGCACCAGTCCACCTAATTAGCTGCTCACAGACAGCGCCATCCGCCCGGCAGTTCCTTCACCGGGCTGCGCCGCGCTCCTCGGAGGCACATGGCGATCTGGGTGCGTTACACCTCGGGCTGCCCATGTTCCAATCAGCCACAGCGATGAACAGGAGGCCCTTGGCCACGACAAAAGACGCCGCGCCGTTGAGAATATAAACTGTTTGGCCTGCCGGCCCAGCTCCTACCGTCAGATGCACGGGCGCGAAGATTACCTCCGGCCCCCGGCGTCGAAGAAAAAACAGCTGCCCACTGCGCCTGCTCCTGGCCGCAGCGAGGTAGCCCCTCCAGGCCAGGTCCTTCTCGGCACTGAGCCGTGCTCCTCCGTGCCCGCGAGCCCCGCGCCTCGCTGTCTCCGTTGCCGTGGCCGCCTTGGTGGCCCAGCTCAGATTCTTCTTGGCTTCGTTGAATCTCTTTCCCTTCGGGCGGTGCTCTGCGACTTCCCAGGTGCGAGCGCGCTGAAGCGCGCCGTCCTCGAGCTCGAAGTATCTCGGGCCCTTCTCGTTCCAGCTGGCGACGCGCGCGATATAGAACTGCAGTACCCGCTGCCTGCCGCGTCGGCCCCCAACAAGGGCGTCGCCCGCCCCGTCCGTCGAAGGCCCTGCCGGGCTGGCCAGGGGCGCGGGCCCCCTGGCCATTGGACCTGCCTCGCAACAGCCCCTGGGGGCATCTGGCCAGCGCCGACGAGTCCCCCCCAAAGTCTGCCTCAGGGTGCCAGCTGGCTCGCGCCGCGCCGTCCTCGCCAGGGGCTGCGGTGAGGTCGTTCATGCGCCGGCGCCCCCCCCCGCGCTCGGCCGGCCGGGACCCCCCGCCCGCGGGGTCGCCGGGGGCCGCGGGCGCCGCGCGGGCGGCAATCGCGGCCGCGCTACTTTCGCAATCCCACGCGGGAGCATCGGCCACCCCTCCGTCGAGGGCCCCGCGGCGCTGGCCCCGGAGTCGCGCGCCGCTGGTCGCCGAAATTGGGGCGCCCGCTCCCGCGCCCGCGCCTCCCCTCGCCACTGCTGGGGCTGGCCGCCAGCGAGCGCTTCAAGGATCTGCGCGTCGCATAGGCCGTGGCGGCGACGCTGCCATCGCAGGGGGCGCCGGCCGCCCCTCCGTCGAGGGCCCCGCGGCGCTGGCCCCCAATGCCTCGGGCGTCGGCCACCCGCGCGTCCGCGGGCAAGGATCTCTGGGCTTGCGCGCCGCAAGCCGCCGAAATTGTCGCGCCCCTTCCCGCGCCGACGCCCCCTCCTGGACTCTGCCGGGGCCGCCTGCCAGCGAGTGCCCCAGGAGTCGCGGCCGTCGCGCGGGCCGCGACAGCGCCGCTGCCATCTCGACCCCAACGTAGGAGCGTCGGCCGCCCCTCCGCCAAGCGCCCCACGGCGCTGGTCTTCGGGGCCGCAGGCGTCGACCACCCGCGCGTCTGCGGCCGAGGCGCTCCGAAGTTACGCTCTGCCGCTCGCGCCTCGCAGGCGCCTTCCCGCGCCTGCGCTTCCTCCTGTGCCCCGCTGGGGCGGCGCCCTGCAAGTGGGCGCAGCGCGGGTCTCAGGCGTCGCGCGGGGCGCACTCGACCTATCTAATTCCACCCGTTAACTTTCGCCAGCGTTGAAGAAACCGGCCGCGGCATTGGCTCTGGTATCCTCCGACGCGTTCTCATCCCATCCTGCCATGATCTCTCTGATCCGCTTGTTAGTGTCTCATCATCTGGAAACTGTACCCACTGGGACTCCTCCATGGTGGCGCCCATCTGGCCCCCTAGATCCCCAGCGCTTGTTGGCGCTGTGGCAGGAGTAGCGGCGCCAGCTCCAGCAGCAGCCCCAGCAGGCTTCGGCCACAAGGCCTCCACGCGCGCGAGCGCCTGCTGGTTTTTGTCTCGCTGCCACCCGCTGCTGCGGCTCCATCAGCGCTGGACGTGAGCTGCTTGACGACCTCCACGAGTTCGCCCCACATGCTCAGAAAGCTCAGAAGGGGAGCTTTCCCGTCGCTGGCTGACTGCTGCAGGTCTCGGTTGCAACGTCACGACTGGCCTGCTCGGGCTCCTCTTTCGCCTGCCGCAGCACCTGCTGGGACTCCACCGCCTCCATGGCGGCCTCCCGCGCTGCCGCTTGGGCACTGTCTGCGCGCACGGTGGCCCGGAACACCTTACCTTGTGCTGCGCACTTGCCACCGCCTGGGGCAGGTCCTTGTTGAGATTTGGATCCCTTATTCCCGCCGCGTGCAGCCTACGGCGGTGAGTAATATCGTCCCGCTGGCTCCGCGAAAAGGCGCCCGACCCGATGTCGAACTGGTCCTCACCCGTGCTGACCCAAGGGCCCATCACCTTGTCATCAAGCTGCTGCACGACGTTGTTCTTCGGTTGCTGGCGCTGCACTCCTCCTCGCGGGGCCTTGTGTGGTCGTCGTCCCCAGGGGCCAAGAGGCAGTCGAACCGCCCCTGGTCCTCGTGCCCATGCCCCGCATTGGGATGGCCCTTGTCCTGCGGCTGGCTCTCGTCCATGTCCTGGGTTGTAGCGCGCTGCATGCCTTGCATCCATAGCCCACCATTGCTGGAGCCAGAGATGCTGCCGAAAACTGAATCTGGTAATCGTGAAAGGTTCCTGGCGGGCGAACGCCATGCGAGCAAAGACCCCACGTCCGATCAGTCGACGAGGCGTGACTTTGGGGGCCGTCGACTCACCCGCGCCAGTGAGGTCAGGTCTGGTGCCAAACATCTGCGAACTTGAAACAAAATGGCTACGGACTTCCCCCTCCTTTTCCTGATCACTCTTCCTCCTTCCCCTCCTCCTCCTCCTCCTCCTCCTCTTCCTCGTCGTCCTCCTCCTCGTCCTCCTTCTGATCCTTCTCCTCCTCGTCCTCCTCCTCACTCCTCACTGCTCACTGCTCACTCCTCCTCCTCCTCCTCACTCCTCCTACTCCTCCTCCTCTTCCTCCTCTTCCTCGTCGTCGTCCTCCTCCTCGTCCTCCTTCCGATCCACCGCCTCCTCGTCCTCCTCCTCACTCCTCACTGCTCACTGCTCACTCCTCCTCCTCTTCCTCCTCCTCCTCCTCCTCCTCCTCCCCTCCTCCTCCTCCTCCAACCGCTCCTCCTCCTCCTCCTCCTCATCCTCCTCCTCGTCCTCCTCCTCCTCCTCCTCATTATCCCTCCTCCTCCTCCTCCTCGTCCTCCTCCTTGTCCTCCTCCTCGTCCTCGTCCTCCTCCACCTCCTCCTCCTCCTCCTCCTCCTTCTCCGCCTCCTCCTCCTCGTCCTCATCCACCTCTCCTCCTCCTCCTCCTCCTCCGCCTCCTCCTCCTCACCCTGAATCATCATGTTCATGATCACCACCGCAACCACCAGCACCAGCACCACCACCACCATCACCACCATCACCGTCACCATCACCATCACCATCACCATCATCATCATCATCATCATCATCATCATCATCATCATCATCATCATCATCATCATCATCATCGTCATCATCATCATCATCAGCATCATCATCATCATCACCATCATCATCATCATCATCATCATCAGCATCATCATCATCGTCATCGTCATCGTCATCCTCATCATCGTCATCATCGTCATCATCGGCATCACCAGCAACATCATCATCATCACCATCATCAGCACCATCACCATCACCATCACCGTCAACATCATCATTAGCATCATCATCAGCATCATCAGCATCACCATCATCATCAGCAGCATAATCATCATCACCATCATCACCATCATCATCAACAGCATCACCACCATCATCAGCACATCATCAATATCATATTCTTCTTATTCATCATCACCACCATCATCACCAACCTCATCATCATCGACATCATCATCATCATATTAAAATTCATACCCATCATTATCATAAACCGCATCATCATCATCATCATCATCATCATCATCACCTTCATCATCATCGTCGTCGACGTCGTCGTCGTCATAATCACCAACATCATCAGCATCATCCCATCGTTTTCATCATCATCACCATCATCTCTTACTCATAAGCATCACCATCATTATTATCATCATCATCATCATCATCATCATCATCATCATCATCATCATCATCATCATCATCATCATCATCATCATCATCATCATCATCATCATCATCATCATCATCCGCGGCATCATCATCAGCAGCATCATCACCACCAACATCATCACCATAATCATCATCATCAGCAGCAACATCATCCTCCTCCTCCTCATCATCATTACCACCACCACCATCACCATCATCATCATCATCAGCATCATCATTAGCATCACTCACTCACTCACTCACTCACTCACTCACTCACTCACACACTCACTCCTCCTTCTCCTCCTCAAGGCGCCGAATGTTATCCTGGCGAGGACGAAGACGTCAACGATGAAGTCTGATGCTGCTTCCAGCTGGAGGCAAATCTGATCAAGGCTCGGATTGCGCAGAGAAAGCGGACGATGCTGATGATGGTGGCTATGATGTGTTCAGAGCCCCTCACGCTCGATTCAACGCCAGGGGCGCGGACCCAGTCGGAGTCGATTCGATCATGTCCTCCTCCCGAAAGGTCTGGAAGCCAGGACCTCGTGCGCGCTGCCGCGCGGCCTCCAGGCCCTCGGGAGTCAGCGCGGAGCCCCGCAGCAGGCGACGGAGCCGGAACTGCACCGCGGGCCACAGCGCGGTGGAGAGCGCGAACAGGATCGGGAATATCCCGAACAGGCACACCGTCGAGGTCGGGTATCCCGACATCGAGTCCGAGGACGCCTCCGAGAGCACCAGCAGGCCGACGACCAGCGTCAGCAGCGCCGGGGCCACGTAGCGGATCTGGTGCGTGAAGAAGCGGGGGAGGGCCACGCCGGTGGAGGCCTCCACGTCCTGCAGGACCTGCTCGGCCGTGTAGACGTAGCCCAGCATGATGTACTCCAGCAGGACGCCTATCGTGAGGCAGTACGTCGTCACCCAGTGGTCCGCGACCTCGGGATCTCCGAGAGCGATGCGACCCTCCGCCCTCGTCTCCTCCCGCTCCGTTCCTCCGACTCGCTCCTGCCCTCGCATCTCCGGCTCTTCCCGCAAGGGCGTAGGCAACTCTGCCCGTCCCCCCTTGGGGACCTCGAGCAGCAGGTACCCCTCGCGGGTCACGTACGGAAGGCCTATGAGCAGGAGGGCGGTGCACAGCAGCACGAGACGCAGGGCGTTGCCCCTCACCGAGAGCTTGACCCCTGGGAAGACGAAGCCAGCACGAGGACAAGATCGGGTGCGGATATAAGTCGAGAATCTCTGAGCTCCGGCGGCTCCGGAAGATGTCGCGGGTGCCGCGGCCTTCTCAGAACGGATTTATCCTCGTCCTTGCCCCGTCCGGCCTGGGTTGCGCGACATCATCCAGTCGTTCAGGTAGGTCTGCAGGGTCTCAACGACCGCGAACGAGGAGTCGAGCCCCAGCAGAAACAGGGTCAGAAAGAACAGAGCCGACAGCACGGACGGGGCAACGCCGCTGCCCATCTGCCCGAGGCCCTGCGCGAAGACTATGAAAGCCAGGCCCTCGCCGGACGCCGCGACTTCCTCTACGGCCTTGCCCTGCGTGGCGGCCAGATTGCCCACGACCGAGAACACCACAAGGCCGCCGAACAGGGAGAACGCCGAGTTGCAGAAGGCCACCAGCGCGCAGTCTGCGAACAGCCCCCTGCTGGCGGAGCAGGAAGGCACCGACGCCGCCGCGCCCCAGAGCTCTCCTGGGCCGCGCTCTGACCAGAATCTGCGAGGAAAACGGAGCGGTGGCGACGGGGGGCGGTCCAGGACGAGCCGCGGCATCGGTAGCTGCATCGGGCATCGGGGAGGAGCAGGAGGAGGAGGAGGAGGAGGAGGAGGAGGAGGAGGAGGAGGAGGAGGAGGAGGAGGAGGAGGAGGAGGAGGAGGAGGAGGAGGAGGAGGAGGAGGAGGAGGAGGAGGAGGAGGAGGAGGAGGAGGGCTGCGTTCTGACCAGAGCACACCGGCGAGAACCGGGCCGTGGCGACGCGGGCTCTCCAGCACGAGCCGCGGCAGCGCTGCCGTCCCCTCCCCCGGCCTGTAGTCCCGCTCGTGGAAGGACGCCAGCGATATGCAGGTGCCCGTGCCCGGCGACAGGGAGAAGATGATCGTCGGGTGTTGCTAGAAGTGCCCCCTGGCCCAAGGTGCCCCCAGGATTGCCAGGGAGGCTCCCACGGCCCCCAGAGCACCCCCACCACGAGGCCCAGCGGCCCCAAGGGCTCCTGAAAATGGAGCGAAACGCTTGGGGCACCTGGTGCCAGGGGCACCTGCACCCAGACATGCGACGTCCCAATGTTCTCGGCACGTGGTCTTCGGAAGTCCCGACCCTTCCCCCAGGGCCAGCTCTTGACCCGGAGCCGTGCTGTGAGCTTTCTGCACGACGCGAGCACGTCTGGGTGCATGTGTCGGGAGCGGCCAAGAGGGGGGTGTCCAAGAGGGGGGGGTGCAAGTCATGATTGGCGGCATGTGTGCGGCCCAGCGGGGGGCCAGATACGTAATGAAATGAGAAGAGGCGCCAGGAAATCTGGGGAGATATCATGGCCCCCGCCATGATATCCCCCCCCCCCCTAGTCCCAGACCCCCGACGTAATGATTTTTTCATTACGTCGACCCCAAAGTTCTCGACCCCTTCCCCAGGACCAGTTTGTGATCCTGAGTCGTTTTTTGACGCTCCCGAGGCCCGGTGAGGGCCCCCAGAGGCCGAAAATGGCGAAAAACCTCCCGTCATGATTTTTTCATTGCTCGAGGGGGTCTGGGGTCATCACCCCCCACTTTGCCGCCCCCGAATGTAGGCGGCGAGCCAGGGGGGGAAGTGAGAAGGGGCGGGCCTTCTCAGAAGGCTCGGAAGTCCCCCAGACTTCTGAGAAGTTTTCTAAGCCTTCCCCGAAGACACAAAACAAATTCTCAGAAGCCGCAAGGACTTCTGAGAAGTCCCACCGTAGGAAGGCACCAACTATACACCAACACCGATCCTGGCCAGGATCACCCTGGGCCCAGGATCGGTGTATGCGCCCTCCTGCCTTGCGCAAGAAGGCATACACACCGATCCTGGGCCCAGGGTGATCCTGGGCCAGGATCGGTGTTGGTGTATAGTTGGTGCCCTCAGACACCGCCTTCTGAGAAGCCCTTCTCCTTCTCACTTCCCCGAGAGCGGCCAAGAGGGGGGTGTCCAAGAGGGGGGGGTGCAAATCATGACCGGCGGCATGTGCGCGGCCCAGCGGGGGGGCCAGGGACGTAATGAAATGAGAAGAGGCGCCAGGAAATCTGGGGAGATATCATGGCCCCCGCCATGATATCCCCCCCCCCCTAGTCCCAGACCCCCGACGTAATGTTTTTTTCATTACGTCGACCCCAAAGTTCTCGACCCCCAGGACCGGTTTGTGATCCTGAGTCGTTTTTTGACGCTCCCGAGGCCCGGTGAGGGCCCCCAGAGGCCGAAAATGGCGAAAAACCTCCCGTCATGATTTTTTCATTGCTCGAGGGGGTCTGGGGTCATCACCCCCCACTTTGCCGCCCCCGAATGTAGGCGGCGAGCCAGGGGGGGAAGTGAGAAGGGGCGGGCCTTCTCAGAAGGCTCGGAAGTCCCCCGGACTTCTGAGAAGTTTTCTAAGCCTTCCCCGAAGACACAAAAAAATTCTCAGAAGCCGCAAGGACTTCTGAGAAGTCCCACCGTAGGAAGGCACCAACTATACACCAACACCGATCCTGGCCAGGATCACCCTGGGCCCAGGATAGGTGTATACGCCCTCCTGCCTTGCGCAAGAAGGCATATACACCGATCCTGGGCCCAGGGTGATCCTGGGCCAGGATCGGTGTTGGTGTATAGTTGGTGCCCTCCGACACCGCCTTCTGAGAAGTTTTCTAAGCCTTCCCCGAAGACACAAAAAAAATTCTCGGGAGCCGCAAGGGCTTCTGAGAAGTCCCACCGCCTTCTGAGAAGCCCTTCTCCCTCTCACTTCCCCCCCTCGCTCGCCGCCGCCGAGTGTCGGGGGCGGCCAAGAGGGGGGTGTCCAAGAGGGGGGGGTGCAACTCATGACCGGCGGCACGTGCGCGGCCCAGCGGGGGGGCCAGGGACGTAATGAAATGAGAAGAGGCGCCGTGGAATCAGAGGAAAAATCATGGCCCGCGCCATGAAATCCCCCCCCCCCTAGTCCCAGACCCCCGACGTAATGATTTTTTCATTACGTCGACCCCAAAGTTCTCGACCCCCAGGACCGGTTTGTGATCCTGAGTCGTTTTTTGACGCTCCCGAGGCCCGGTGAGGGCCCCCAGAGGCCGGAAATGGCGAAAAACCTCCCGTCATGATTTTTTCATTCCTCGAGGGGGTCTGGGGTCATCACCCCCCACTTTGCCGCCCCCGAATGTAGGCGGCGAGCCAGGGGGGGAAGTGAGAAGGGGCGGGCCTTCTCAGAAGGCTCGGAAGTCCCCCAGACTTCTGAGAAGTTTTCTAAGCCTTCCCCGAAGACACGCAAAAAACAAATTCTCAGAAGCCGCAAGGACTTCTGAGAAGTCCCACCGTAGGAAGGCACCAACTATACACCAACACCGATCCTGGGGATCTGGGGGTCTGGAGGAAATCAGAGGAAAAATCATGGCCCGCGCCATGAAATCCCCCCCCCCCTAGTCATCACCCCCCTCTTTTCCGCTCCCAAGAGTGCGGGGCCAGGGGCACCCGCAGCAGCCCCCCGGGATCTGCCCGCACGCCAGGCCCCAGACGTCGGCCCGGAGCAGCAGGGCCCAGCGCGGCCGGAGGTAGTAGGCCAGGCCCAGGCTCGCGCCGGGCAGGCGGATGGCGCGGGGCGGCCAAGGAGCCGCAGCGACGGCGGGCTTCTCGGCCGCGGTCTCCGTCTTCTTCTTCTTCTTCCTCCTCCTCCTCCTCCTCCTCCAGCTTCTCCTCCTCCTCCTCCTCCTGCTCCTCCTCCTCCTCCTCCTCGTCCTTGTCGTCCTCGTCTTCGTCCTCCATTCCTTCTCCTTTTACTTCTCCCTGTCACACCCCGAGGCCAATCTTTGGGGCGGGCCGGGCGTTTCGCCTGAGACTCTAACCATTTATGACTCTGAAGCTTAAAAAGTCGCCGCGCACATTCGTTTCAAAAATGTGCAAGAGTTTCACGGATTGAGGACAGGTCGTTTTCAAAATGTGGCTCTCGCCTTAGCGCATATTCGTTTTCAACATGTGCAAGAGCTTCACGGATTAAGGGCGGGCCTGTTTTCAAAATGTGGCTCTCGCCTTGGCGCGGCGCACATTCGTTTTCAAAAATTGCAGGGGTTTCATGGATTCGCATTATCAGCGTAGCAGAAATGTTGGTTTGGAAGGACTCAGGATTGTGAGGGTGCAACTGTTACATGGATTCTCTGTGTTGAAGTCCTGGGAATGGCCGTCTGGCACGATTCAGGATCGTCAAGACGCAACAGTCAGGTTGATCCGTGGCGTTGGAATCCCGAGAACAATGTTTTGGCATGCTTCAGGGACTTCCAACGGGTGTTTTCCAACGAGGCAGTTCCATCAATGGATGAACCGTTGCAGGGGCCGATGAAGAGGGAGCTAGGAGGGAGGGTTTACTCCAACGTCGTTGATGACTCTTGGGTTTGCACTGGTCCTCCTCATCCTCCTCCTCCTTCACCTCCTCCTCCTCCTCCGTGTCCTCCTCCTCCTCGTACTCGCCCTCCTCGTTTTCCTCCTCCTCCTCCTCCTCCTCCTCATCATCACCGTCAGCATCACCATCACCAGCATCATTATCATCACCATCACCATCACCATCAACATCACCATCACCATCACCATCATCATCATCATCATCATCATCATCATCATCATCATCATCATCATCATCATGATGATCGTCAGCATCATAATCATCATCATCACCATCACCATCATCAACATCATCACCACCACCACCATCGTCATCACCATCACCACCACCATCACCATCATCATCAGCATCATCATCACCATCACCATAGTCATCATCATCATCATCATCATCATCATCATCATCATCATCATCATCATCACCAGCATCACCATCACCATCACCATCACCATTACCACCACCATCACCGTCAACATCAACATTACCATCATCATCACCAACAACAGCATCATCTTCATCATCACCATCACCACCAGCATCACCATCACCATCACCACCATCATCATCACCATCACCATCACCGTCACCATCACCATCATCAGCATCGCCATCACCATCACCACCATCATCATCACCATCACCATCATCACCATCACCATCACCATCACCATCACCATCATCATCATCATCAGAATCAGAATCAGAATCAGAATCAGAATCAGAATCAGAATCAGAATCAGCATCAGCATCAGCATCAGCATCAGCATCAGCATCAGCATCATCACCATCACCATCACCATCACCATCACCATCATCATCATCATCATCATCATCATCATCATCATCATCATCATCAGCATTATCGTCATCATCGTCATTATCCAGCAACCACGAGGCCGCAAGGCCAAGAACCAAGGACGCAACGGTGTTATTCGCAAACCTCACCGAGTGAGGCCCGCAGGCCAGAGGATGCACGAGGGCGCAGGCGGACGAGTACGACATCGTCGGCATGGTGGAGCCCCACGCGAACGAGGAGGCAGTCGGCAAGGCGCGCGCGGACCTGTCACGAGACGGCTGGAGGCTGGTGGCGACGGCTGCGCGGCCCACTGGCCGATCAGCGGCAGGAGCGACGGGAGGAGAGCGGATCCTCGCCAGGAAGCAGATCCGGACCACATCTTTCGAGGCCTGGAGAGCAGCCGGAGGTGCATCAGGGCTGAACCTGAACGGTGTGCAGAAGGCCGACGAGACCCAGCTCATCCTGGTCTTCGACAAGGACGAGGGGAGCGGCTTCGGCCACTGGAAGGATGCCATGCGCAGGCTCCAAGGCCTCCCAGACGACGACGTGGCCCCCATCATCCTGATCGCGGAGCGCTGCCGGTCGAGGGCCGTCGCCATGGCGCTCGCCAAGTCCAGGAAGTCGTTCCAGGGCTGGGCCCTGAAGATGTGGAAGGACGCCCCGCGGCCCCTCCACAACGTGGTCAAGCCGCCCAGGCCAGAGGCCGCAGAGAAGCTGCAGGAGTGGCGCACAGTGGCGGCCCCCGACCAGCTCATGAGCAGCAGGGCGGACGAGTGGGAGAGGCGCTGGGCCGACGACAGCGTCACCCAGGAGCAGCTCCAAGCGCCCCCAGAGGGTCCCAAGACGGCCCAGAGAAACCCCCAAGACGGCTTCCGACGGCGTCAGACGGGCCAGGAATGCCCTGAGACGGCCAAAGAGGCCCCGGAGAATCCCCCAAAGGCCCCCAAGAGGCCCAAGGAGGCCCCCAAGATGCCTCCCAAAGGCTCCCAGGAAGCTCCCAGGAGGCCCCAAGAGGGTCCCCAGAGGCTCCAAAGATGCCCCCTCCTCCGCCTCCTCCTGATCTTCTCCGCCATCCTCCCCAAGTGTCCCCCGAAGGGTTTCCACAACGGCTGGGTGAACACATGGCAAGATAGCTTGGCAGAGCTCTTGCCACAACGCTCGGCCGTAGGGGCGACTCCAAAAGGCAGTGGGCGGCGGTGATTCGCCGCAGGCGTCTTGCACGGGGACGCATATTTTGCTCACCCTGTCGGAACGCTATGAACTAACACCTCCAGCTCCTCCTCCTGCTCCTCCTCCTCCTCCTCCTCTTCCTCCTCCTCCTCCTCCTCCTCCTCCCGATGAGTATCGTTGAACGGAGCCCCATGCCCACTGGCATGGCATGAACCCCACTGGCCGGCTTACCCCTTTAGGTGGGGACATGTGCTGCTCCCGACGGGACTCGCGGGGCCCATCCCAATCCGTGGGGGAAGGCTGGTGGGGCTTCGACACCACGGCCCCGCGGGGACGGGGACAGCCTCGACGATGCTGACCCGAGGGGGCGACCCTCACAACCATTCTGGCTCTGGCCGCCCCGAGATGCACCGGCAGAAGAGCACAACGATCATTATCACCGGCAAGATGACGGTGACGTAGGCGGCCTTGCCGGCCGAGTGGATGCCCTTGATCAGGCAGAGCACCGTCACCGCCCACACCACAACGACCTCGAACAGCAGGGGCCCGTGGATCTCTCCGCCGCCGGGAGCCCCGACGTCCTCGACCCGGTTGAGGACCACATCGTCCAGATACTGCTCCTGGAGGACACTTGCCATCGCTCGGACGCCCATTTCCCGTGCATTTTTTCGGTTTCGTGCGTGTTTTTTTGCTCGATGGTCCAGGATGGTCCTCGATGGTTCTCGCCGAGAAAAAAATGCACACGCCCGAGCGATGCAGGGAGGATCTCAATCAGCAGCACGAACAAGCTTCCGCAGCTCCGCGCGGGCTTCCTGGATCGGCGCTGGACGCCCCCTGGCGGCGCCTCCCGGCGCCCTCTTGGGGGCCGCTTGGGTCGTCTTGGGGCGATTTGTGGGGCCCCTTGGCCTGTCCTTGACCGCGTAACGACAGAAAAGGTGGACATGCTGAATATTCTCGTCTTCCCATAAGTATATGACGATTTGTGCCTCTTTGGCGTCCCCTCGGGGCCCTCTCGGAGCGTCTTTGGGGCCTCGCCACACCTGCAGCGCCTCGCGCGCCGGGGAGGGGGGGGTCCAGCGTCGATCCAGGGCGCGCCAGGGGAGGGGGGGTCCAAGGCGTCGACCCGAGAAGTCTCCGCGCGGGGTTCGGAGAGTGTACACCCTGCGAAATGCTTTAGAAATCATGGGTTAAGAAATTCGTAGTCTCAGAATTTGAAATCAAACCCAGAATGTCTATTCGAATGTTAGGATTTACATTGAAACATTAAGAATAATCGAGACTCTGGCCGAAAACTTGGGTTTTCTTAAGCATCGCCTGGAGTGTATATGCTTATGCCGCTGCTTCTTCTTCGAGCTCCGGGGTGAGCTTGTCCACCCAGGGGAGCGGCGACTGGAAGGATGCCAGAAAGTAGTGCAGGGCGTAGGCCACGATGAGCTGGTAGTAGGGCAGGAAGAACAGCGTCATGACCACGGGGATGTAGGAGACGCCCACCCACCGAGGGGCCATCTTGCGGAACGTCTCTGCCGGGCCCCTCTGAAACTTCTGGCCCAACACCGACTCGTAGAAGAACAGCGGGCCCGCAACCGCGAGCAGCATGATCAGATACGCGATCACGAACGCCCCCCCGCCGTACTTCCCGCACAGGTAAGGGAAGCGCCACAGATTGCCCACGCCGATGCAGTAGCCCATGAGAACGAGCACGTACTGTTGACGGCTCTTCCAGCGAGTCCTGGGGGGGGACAACAAGGTGGCGATGCCGCCACTCCCCAGGCCTCCCCATGGGGGGCGTTCTGACCAAAATTGTGAGGCAACTCCAGCCGTGGCGGCGAGGGATCTCCACGACAAGCAACGGCATCTCCAAACATCCGATGCGTGGAATAAGCACACACCTGCAGCAAGAACAAAAAACCCGGTCCCCGGACGTCCCGACCCCTGCCCCATGGGCAGGCTTGTCGTCGCGGAGGAGGAGGAGGAGGAGGAGGAGGAGGAAGAGGGGAGGAGGAGGAGGAGGAGGAGGAGGGGAGGGGGAGAGGAGGAGGAGGAGGAGGAGGAGGAGGAGGAGGAGGAGGAGGGGGAGGAGGAGGAGGAGGAGGGCCGTTGTTTGAGGGCCCTGGGGCCTGGCGTGGGGGTACCCGCGGGGAAGAGACTTGCCGAACACCGTCCGTCATGATTTTTGTCACCATCTTCCGCCGTCAGGGCACGATACTCAGCCTCAAGGGCACGACTCCACCAGGACAGGCACGATCTTCAGCCTCAAGGGCAAGATAATGGAAACTACCACCACGGAGCTGTGATACAAGATTGAGCAAGATTTCTGACCGTGCCTGATTGTCTGACGCTCTGGCGCTCCGGCACCGCACCCGCAGCACCCCCAGACGGTGCCTGTGTGCTGGCGTGCTCGTGCTCGTGCTCGTGATTTTTGTCACGACCCCAGGGGGTCACGACCCGAGTCGGTATCTTCTCCTAGAGGCCTCCCAGATGGGGTCGAAGTAGATCGGGTCGGAGGATCGCGGCGCATCGTGGATGCATCATGGATGCAGCGGCAATGCAAGGGCGCCGTCGGCGATGCATCGGCGACGTCGGCGTGGGGAAATTTGGGATCCACATCGAGCAGCATCGCGGATGCATCGGCGACGCGTCGCTATCCTCCAACTACAGTCAACGCGAATTGAAGGATGCAAGAGCTTTGGAAGACCATGTCGACACAGAAAGGCGCGGCCAGAGACAGTGGCAAATGATGGGCTAAGGGAAAGATGCAAAGGCAACGTGGGAAAATCGTGCATCCTTACTATCCGTTGACTGCACTGCGACGCCACACCTGCGACGTCCTGGTCTGCTTTTCCATTTGCAGTCTTGGGAAGTCCCTGCCAGTTCCCCGGGGCTGTTTTTTCAAGGGCTCCCAGTTTCGTGCTTCGCGCTGCGCGAAGCGCGAGGTGCGAATAACTTCACGCTCTCGCGCCGCCTCCCAGGGGAGGAGAGGAGGAAGAGGAGGAATCGGAGCCGAACCGCGAAGCGCGAAGCGCGAATAACTTCGCGCCCTCGAGGGCGCCCTTGTTTTTTCATCCCGAATCGGCTTGTGACGGCCCCGAGGCCATCGCCAGGCCCCCCCGGAGGGCCAAGACAACCAAAAACCTCCCGCCCTGATCCTCGTGTTACGACGCGAGCGCGTCTGCCCCTCTGGGAGGCCCCAGACTTCCTCCCTCCTCCTCCTCCTCCTCCTCCTCCTCCTACTCCTCCTCCTCCTCCTCCTTCCTCCTTCCTCCCTCCTCCTCCTCCGCGAACTCCGCGCACGATAATCAAGGATGCAAGGGCTTTGGAGGGCCATGTCGACACTTGTCGAGCAGGGCGCCGCCAGCGACAATGGCCAAGGATGCAAAGGCAACCTTGGACTGTCGCGCATCCTTACTAGTCGTGCTGACTCTACCACGACCCCACCCCCAGACTCCCGACGTTATGATTTTTTCACAACGTCGACCCCCCAAGGTCTCGACCCATTCCCCAGGACAGGGCTCGCATCCTGAGCCGTTCTTGCAGTCCCGAGGCCCAGCCAGGGCCCCCAGAAACCGGAAGGAGCGAAAACCCTCCCGCCGTGATTTTGCCATGACTCGATAGAGGCCTCCTAGATGGGGACCGAGTAGATGGGGTCGAAGGATCGCACCGCATCGCCAATGCATCGCCGATGTATCGGCGATGCATCGGCGATGCACTGGCGACGTTGGCGATGCATCGGCGACGTAGGCGTGGAGAACATCGGGCTCCGTATCGAGCCGCATCGCCGATGCATCGCCGATGCATCGGCGATGCGGCGCGATCCTCCGACCCCATCTACTCCGACCCCATCCAGGAAGCCTAGACTCGAGGGGGTCTGGGCCTGGGAGGCCCAGGTTTCCCCCCCCTGAGGTCCGGGGCGCGTCGGCGAACTCCGCGCCGAAGGAGGTCCCCCCCGACAGCGGGGGCAGAGCGCCCCCCAGCCTCGGGGGAGGGGCACCGCCAGGCCGTCCGCCAGGCCGTCAGCCCTCTCCGACCAGCCTCGAGCCCAACCCGACGTTGCCCCCCGAGCCTCGAGCCTCGAGCCTCACCTTGCCCCCCGAGCCTCGAGCCCACAACTGCCCCCCTCGGGCCTCGAGCCTACAGGTGTCCCGCAGGCGAGGAGGGCGCAACCCACCCCCACCCCCAGCCAGGGCCCCCGCTCCCGACGTGGTGGTCCAGGGGGTCCCTGCTGGGGGCGACGCGTTGTTTTTTGAGGGCTCGTGGGCCCCACTCCCCCCCCCCCCAGCCAGGAGACCCTGGATCACCAGGTCGGGAGTGGGGGGTCCTGGCCGGGGGTGGTGGGGGGGTGGTGCTGTCCTCATCTGATGGGGCAACGCCAGGGGCAACGCTCCAGGCTCGAGGCTCGAGGGGCAGCGCTGGGCTCGAGGCTCGAGGGGCCACGTCAGGTCCGAGTCGAGGCTCGAGGCTCGAGGTCTTCGGACGTCTTGATTGGTCCTCGGCGGCCCTCCAGCCTCAGGATGCCTTCAGCGGCTGCGCCTCTCCGGGAGCGCTCCCTGGGGCTCCTGCGTCGAGCTGGGAGGCCGCCGGAGGCCCCAGCCCTGGCCCGGAAAGCACCAGGGAGGGAAGCGTCGAGCCTCGAGCAGGGAGATGATCGACTACAGCATGGGTTGCCCCAGACTTGGCCTTCTCGTCGAACCTGCCGAAGCAGTGCGCAGAGTGTTCAGCAGACCCAGGGAGAGACATTCTGCGCAGTTGGTGCGCATATATCCGAGGGGTCGACAAACTCGGGGGCAAATCAATTCTGTGTTCGATCCCCTGCTCGAGACCTGGAGCCGGCGATACGTCGCCCATGGATCGGCGATGGGGCCCCCGACAGCGAGACCGCACGTTCCTCTGGGAAAGGGGCATGGATGGGCTATCGGGCCCCACTCGGCGAGGAGTGGGTGCTTGGGCATCGACGCGTCCACCCCTGAGCCTGATATCGCCCCTGACGCTCCCACGAGGAGGAGGAGGAGGAGGAAGAGGAGGAGGAGGCGGAGGAGGAGGAGGAGGTGGAGGGGGATGAGGAGGGGGGAGGTGTGGGCGGAGGAGGGGGAGGAGGGGGAGGAGGGGGAGGAGGAGGAGGGGGAGGAGGAGGAGGAGGAGGAGGAGGAGGAGGAGGAGGAGGAGGAGGAGGAGGAGGCGGAGGAGGCGGAGGAGGACCAGGACCAGCCGCCGCGCCCTCCATGAGACCCGACGCCGCCGACAAAAATCGGCACCGCGGTGCTCGGGCCCCCTGTGGAGGCCTCGAGAAGGTGGGGATCGGAGGACTGCCCCCGCGCCGCCGATGCCTCGATGCACCGACGAGGCGCCGCGGTCCTCCGACCCGATCTGCACCGACCACACCCAGGAGGCCTCCAGGAGAAGGTACCGACTCAGACCCCCTCCCAGACATGATGGCGTCGTAACAAAAATCGGGACGGGCCGGTTTTGGCCATCTTCGGCCCTGGGAGGCCCTCGCAGGGCCTCGGGACCGTCAAAAAACGACTCAGGATGAAAAACCGGCCCCGGGGAAGGGGTTGGGACTTCCAGGGACGCCGTCCTGAAAAAATCAGGACGTCGCATGTCTGGGCTCGGGTCGTGGCAAAAACCACGACGGACGGTTTTTGGCGCGAGTCTCGGCCTCGGGGGGGGCCCTCGCCAGGCCCCAGGGCCGTCAAGAAAAATGTGAGCCCAAAGAAAATACACCACCAACACCACCACCACGTCGATTCCTCCTCTCTCCTCTTTCCAGCGAGAGGGAGGGGGGGAGGGAGGTGGGGGTGGTGGTGTATATTCTTGGGCCCCCCCAAAAAAGGCCCCGGATGACAAGCCTGCCCAGGGCAACGGGCCGGGACGTCCAGGGACCGCGCTTCAAAAAACAAAACAAGACCTCGGATGCCTGGGGATGCCGCTGCTCGTCGTGGAGATCCCGTCGCCACGGCCGGAGCCGCCTCGAGATTCTACAGGGCAATCTTTAATACATGTGATGTTTTAAATCCGCCGATCCGGCGTGTGAGTTTATGAGAGCGTGATCTTGAGCTCGCTCAAGCTTCGCTCTGCGGGGGGGGGACCTCATTTCAGTGCGACCTCAATTTCAGTGCTTCGGGGGGGGAGGGGGGTGGGACCTAGATGCTGGGGGAAGGGGGGGGACCTCCATTTCCGACCTAATTCAGTGCTTCGCCCCCCCCCCCCTCCCCTCCCAGAGCGGAACCCCCCATCCCCTGCAGAACGCCCCCTCCCGCTTCCTGCAGCCCAGCCCCCCCCCCCCCCCTGCAGAGCGGACCTCGCCCCTGTAGCCCCCCCGCCCCACTGCAGAGCGACCCCCCCCTCCCCCTGAACCCCCCCTCTGCAGAGCACCCCCCCCCCTGCAGAGCGGACCTCCTCCCTGCAGCCTCCCCCCCCCCTGCAGAGCGGATCCCCCTCTCCTCCCCTGCTCCCCCCCCCTCTGCAGAGCAGACCCGAACCGTCATCATGCAGCCTCCCCTCCCCCCCTCCTCTCAGAGCGGACAGGCTCCCCTGCAGACCCAGACCGCCACCTCCCCTCCCTGGGAGCCAGAAACCCCCCCTCCCGCTCCGCTGCGAGAGCTGGACCCGCTCAGTGCACACCACCCCTGCAGAGCGGGACGCTCCCTCCCTTCCACCCCCACACTCCACCCCACTGCAGAGCGGACCCCCCGCCTTTGTAGCCCCTCCCCCCCCATAGCTTCTCCCATCCCCCCTGCTAGACCCCCACCCCCCCTTGCAGAGCGGACCTCCTCCCTGCAGCCCCCCCCCCCCTGCAGAGCGGGATCCCCCCCTCCCCCCTGCCCCCCCCCCTCTGCAGAGCAGACCCGCCCTCCTGCAGCCCCCCTCCTCCCAGAGCGGACCCCCCCCCCTGCAGAGCGGACCGCCCCCCCTCCTGCAGCCCAGCCCCCCCGCCGCAGAGCGGACCCCGCCCCGTGCAGCCCCCCCCCTGCAGAGCGGACGCCCACCCTCCCCTGCCCCCCCCAACCCCCCCCCTGCAGAGCAGACTTCCCTCTCCTGCAGCCCCCCCCCCTCCTTCAGAGCGGACCACCCCTCTCCCCTGCAGTCCCTCCCTCTGCCGAGCGGACTCCCCCTGCAGAGCAGACCCCCTCCCCTGCCCTTTCCCCTGCAGCATCATCCTGATCATCATCTTGCGGAGCGCCCCGGATCGGCGGCACTGGCCGGAGGCCACTACAATATAAGACTTTAATACATGATTAATGTATGAATGAATTTATGCATGAATTCACCGTTGTTTTTAATACAAAACCCTGCATTGTTTGTACATGATCCGCACGCGGAGCATGTGTTAAAAACGGCACTGTAGTCGGAACGCACCCCAGAAGAGGTCTGGCGAGTGGCGGTATCGGCATCTTGCTGTCCCCGCACGGGCCCGCTGAAGACCCGCCAGCATCGCACGTCTGGGGAACAAATCACGACCAGAGCAAACAATCCCATCTTTCTGCGGCCGCGCTCGGGCCTGATCCATCCGTGAGGGTTCCAGGGCCGGAAACGGAGCGAAGTCGCCTGGCGCGGCAAAAAGAAGTGCGGCGCCAGGATCTCAAGGCTCCTGGCCCGCGAGCCAGGGAAGGGCGCAACCCCAGACCCCCGACGTCGTGCTTCTTCCGCGGCGTGGACCCCCAGAGGTCTGAACCCCTTCCAAGGGACCGGCTTTTCATTCCAGGCCATCTTTTTGATGGTCCTGGGGGCCCCTGAGGGCCCTCAGGGGCCGAGAACGGCAAAAACAAATCAGATCAGATCGTGATTTTTGTCCACGGCGCGAGGGGATCTGGGGCCCAACCCCCAGCCCGGAGGCAACGTCGTGAACAATCACGGCCAGAGCCGGATCCATCCGTGAGCGTCCCATGGCCCGAAGCTGGGCGAGAACACCCGGCTCGAACAAATTGAAACCCAGACATGCGACGTCCTGATCTTTCCATACGCGGTCTTCGGTAGTCTCGGCCCCTTCCCCAGAGACGGTGTCTCATCCTGAGTCGTTTCTTGACGGTCCCGAGGCCCAGCGAAGGCCCCCGAGGGCCAACACGACCGAAAACCGCCCGTCCTGCCTTTCTGAAACGACGCGAGCATCTCTGGGGACGCTCGGATTTCAGGGCAGGGCCAGCATCGGGCGCGCACACCGAGGCCGCCGAGGGACTGGGGGTGGTTTGGGGCCCGGCCGAAGGCTTGGTGCCCTGCGGACGGCTGGCGCTTCCCCCCCCCCCGCGCAGCCCCAGCACGAGCTTGTCCTCGGCGGCGGCGGCGGCGACGACGGCGCCGAAAACGACGGCGGCGATGACGACGGCGACGACGACGACGGCGGCGACGGCGGCGGCGACGACGACGACGACGACGACGACGACGACGACGACGACGACGACGACGACGACGACGACGGCGGCGGCGGCGGCGGCGGCGGCGGCGGCGGGTCCTCGGGGACCTCGCCCACCGCCATGGCGGGGGGCCGCGGGCCTTCCGGGAGCTCGGCGCCGCCCGCGCGGGGCATGCCCAGCACGCAGGGCGACGGCAAGGGCGGCCAAGGCTGCCACGGTAACGGCGGGCTCGGCCAAGGGGAGCGGGAAGGGGGGGGGCGGGATGTGCGGGAGGGAGGGAGGGGAGGAGGGACGAGGACGAGGACGAGGACGAGGAGGAGGAGGAGGAGGAGGAGGAGGAGGAGGAGGAGGAGGAGGAGGAGGAGCTACAGCTCGGGCTCGACCTCGGGCTCGAACTCGGGCTCGGGCTCCCTCCTTCGCGTTTCGGCTCGGGCCCCTTTCGCCATCCCACTTTCGGCCCCGCGCCTTTCTGCATTCGCTTGCCCCCGCGCCACTGGGCGCCGCAGCATTTTTAGCCCCACTCAGAGACAGAGGCCCCTTTAGGGGGGGAGGCCGCGTTCGTGGAACCGCACGGCCAAAGGAACACAAAACACAAAAGGGAAGAGGAGGAGGAACAGGGGGAGGAG